AGCATGACATAACAACTTCAGACAATCTATGGGCATGTACGATTGTACTCATTAGGCAGAGTCTAGATGATGTCTTGCAGGTTTTGGGGGAGACTGGGGGTGGAGTCAGGGCAGCAGTGGCTGTGTTCCTGCGGAGAATAGGATAGGACTGTTGAGTTTATCACAAATCGATTAGGTGGGCCCCACAGAACGTAACAGGAGGATGAGGGGGTGGGGTCAGCGTAGCAGCAGCGGCGCTGTGTTCCTGCTGATGATAGGAGAGGACCACCTCAGTCACAATCTACGAGCATGGACATGTACAATTGTATAGATTAGGCAAAGTCTAGACGATGTCTTGACAGGTGCTGGGGGTGGGGTCAGGGCAGCAGTGGCTGTGTTCCTGCTAAGAATAGGATGTTGAGTTTACGAAAATTCCATTACGTGGGGCGTACAGAACATATCAGTAGAATGTGGGAGTGGCATCAGGGTAGCAGGAGTGCTGTGTTCATGCTGTTGATAGGATAGGATGGCCTAGTCGGGGGGGGGATCGAAGGTACTATATGCGATCTATAAAACGAACGCTTGAGCGTGGCGCTCGAAGTAACCTGGGCGGGACTTGTCCGACCCTGCTTCAACTGGGGCTGGGTGGGGTTACTTACCTAAGCTCGGAATCTTGGGTGGTTAACACTGACGTAGGATAGTGGGAGTAGGGGTGCGCTACGAGAATTGACAAGAGGATGGGTAGGGTGGAGGTCGCATAATAGACAAAGATATCAGGGCAGCCAAATCAGAACACCTCTTGAGGGTAAACTGCCAGAGGATTGATCCGAGCTCTATAACAACCTGGACTTTACAAAAAAAAAAAAAAAAAAAAAAAGCCTTGAACTTTACTGCCGAGGAAATTCCCTCATCATTATTCTAAGTACAGGGGATCCTCACGTGAGTGTTACTGGCCCGAATGTTTGGGAGGGTTCGGGCCGACCCCCAAACGTTCGGGCGTTGGGGGCGTGGTGCAGGCCCCGTCCAACCCGGGTCCAAGTCCCACTTACCCGAAATCTCAACTTCTGACCGTAGATTCCGAAGATCAACGGCCCGAAATGAAGAATCAGGGTAAGTGGGACTTGGCCCCCGGGGTTTGGGGCATGCCAAACCCCGTTTGGGGGGCCTTTTTTTTTTTTTTTTTTTTTTTTTTGCAGATACACTACCACCTAAAGCACCTACCTGTAAATTTCTGCATGATTCTGCTGAGCAGGGGGGGGGGGGAAATCAAAGAAGATAGGGGGTTAAAAGTTTTCGGACTCCGCCCCGTTTTGTCAATTTTTTTTCATGTTTTCCTGTTTTTTTTTGGAAGGGGGGGTTCGTTTGTAATGTTTGGAGTCAATTGACCAGTCAAGCAATCAATCAATCAACGAGTGAAAGTTGATTGATTGATTGATTGATTGATTGATTGATTGATTGGCGATTTTTTTTTTTGCATTTGACAGAGCCCAGTGCCCAAGGAAAATTACGTACAAGTGATGGAATTGTGCTTGATTCAGTTGAAGTGTTTGAGTTCTATAACAGGGCCCTCGGTTTGGCCGGGGCCGTAAGCTAAGCTGGCTGATGCTGTCAGATACTTCCGGGTCGAATTGTGAGGTCCCCGGCCTGTATGATCAGTTGTTTTCGCAATATAATTGAAGGGAAAAAAAAAAGGGAAAAAAATAAATAAAAAATTACGTCAGCACAGTAACCAATAACAACGACAGCCGGGTTGTCCCGCCCCACCAGGAGCTCGGAGCCCCGTCCCTGTATATACGGTCTTCACACCCATCCCTCAACGCCAGTACCAGCCCTGACAAGAGGGGAATCCTCATGTCCAAGCACAAGGCCCACTCAGACAGACCACAAAACACCACTGCCAAAAGAACTATGCGGGACACCGAAAAGCACCAAATACAAAACAAGAAGACACTCTACCTACTCCGACCAACAGAGGGTGAGCTGCCCAATGTTCCTAAAACCAAGCAATACCCTTGGCCGGCGACGAATCGAAGGAAACTTTCCGTCGCCAAGCAAGACCCAAATCTGCTAACCGCCCTGAAAGCCCAGGACAAACTCTTCGCTGCCTTCGCACCTCTGTTTCTGCGACATGGTCCTCCCCCGGGTCCCCCCTCCGGCCTGCGCCTCCGCGCCGTGCGCGGTACGCAGTTGCAAATTTCATGTGTACCCAGAAACTGGCGAATTCCCCTACACCCGAGTACCGGCCTGCAATGTATCAGAATAGCCCTTTCTCTCGCATGTCGATGCATGCACGAGCGCGCGCGCGCGCGCGCTGGACCTCGTTCAATCCGGATACATCCGATTTTTCCTGTTGCTCCGACGAGGGCATTTTTTGGACTTCTCAACAACCCCGGATTTCCTTCAACTAAAATAACAATCTCTGTTTCGACGAAATAACAGACACAGAGAGAGAGAGAGAGAGAGAGAGAGAGAGAGAGAGAGAGAGAGACGCAGATCGGCGGCGACGACTGATAGACAGAGGAGGGAAGCCGACATACCAATCAAAAACCACTCACAAGGTACGTATAAAACCCTATTTATAAACCTCTGTACCTTCTATCTATCTATCTATCTATCTATCTATCTTAACGCGTGCATTTGTGTCACATGATTGTTAAACCACCAGTACTTTGCCCAGCTATCGGCCGCGGAAAAATATAGAGTAGAAACGTTTCTAGTTGGATGAATTTGGGCGCTCCTGTAGTGGCCCGTACGTTTCCTAAAATCGCGTATGGTTAATGGGCACAACTTTAGGAAGTGCTGGTGGTTTAACGCCATGACGGTCGAGGAGCATTATCACGATCTTGTTGTTGATGAAAAGTTCGATCGAAATCCACATCTTGATCGGCATCTTCAGTGTTCTGCTGGCGAAGATCTTCGTATTGGGTAAGACCAGCGATGAAGGGCCTGATTTTGATCGAGATCTTCATGCAGATTGCGATTAAGATGACGATCTTTACCAATGTTTGGATGTCAACCAACACCATCGTTATGTTCCCGATCGCGAAGTGCGATGACGACTACGATCTTGATCGATGTTTTGATGCCAACCAAGATCAGCACGATCAGAAAGTCAAAAGATTGACCGATTCATTTGCCCCCCCCCCCCCCCCNCACACACACACACACACACAGAGAGAGAGAGAGAGAGAGAGAGAGAGAGAGAGAGAGAGAGAGAGAGAGAGAGAGAGAGAGATGAATCGTTTTCGAATCACTGTGTGTGTATGCGTAAATCGATATCCTGATCTAAATCTCAATCTTTTTCCATAGATCGACAGGTGTAGTATTTTTCCTGCGCCTATCTATCTATCTATCTATCTATCTATCTATCTATCTATCTATGTTCCTGACTGTGTACTCATTTCTGTGTCTACATGTCTATGTAGTTCTATTCTTATCTCTCTTTCTATGTGATTCTTATCTCTCTTTCTATGTGATTTAAGTTATGTATCTATCAACCGAGAGAGAGAGAGAGAGAGAGAGAGAGAGAGAGAGAGAGAGAGAGAGAGAGAGAGAGAGAGAGAGAGCGGGGGCCGGGTCGGGGAGACGCGTCATGCGACGCGACTCCTCAAGCCTCTGCTTCTCTCTCTCCCTCCTTGTCATTGCGCACGCGTGCACTTGCACAGACACACGCGCAGAGAGAGAGAGAGGTGGGTGGCGGAGGGGGGGGGTGTTGGGAAGGCACGCGTCTCCACAACTCTCCCCTTCTCTCTCTCTCTCTGTGTCTGTCTTTCACATGTGCGTGGCCACAACAGACACACACACACACACAGCGGGAGGGAAGGAGGGGGGGGGGGAGAGAGAGAGAGAGAGAGAGAGAGAGAGAGAGAGAGAGAGAGAGAGAGAGAGAGAGAGAGAGAGAGAGAGAGAGATTTGTGGCATATACACAGCTTGCTAATGTTATTCTATGCATTTTTATTTCATCACGAGTCTGTCTTTCGCTCTTTGTTTCTCTGTCTCTCGCCCCCGCCCTTCCCCCCCAAGCGTCCATCACCTTCATCCATTAACCCTCTCATCCAGCATTATCATCGATTCAGTTCAGCATTGAGGGTAACTAAACTGTGACACACGCAAGTGCATAGTCTCATTTGTGGGTTAAATTGACTGAATCTTTCCTTAAATTTGGCAAAATTCATTCGCTATTGTGCAAGGTCTTGCAGGTGAGAACAAATGCAAGGAAAATGAGCGATAGCCAACTTCAGAAACCAAGCAGCATCATACACATGTGACCAGATAGTCGAGACCTGCGAACCAAAAGCAGAATTGCAACACGAGTTCCACCAAATAAGAACACAGCAAAAGCTCATAAGTGACAATTTTGGAGTAGTCTCATCATCACCAACAAAGAACCAATGTCGAACTCCTATCTGGCGCTCTGCGCCCAGACTACAAATGGCAGATCTTATCTAGCCTATCTACAATGCCGCTGGTGATGTCAACAGCTCCCCGAAGTACGAGCAGATCTCGGACCAATGCCGTTCGCATCAAGCACCAGGTATGTCTCTCGCATCACTCACAACCTCGACCCCCCACTCACAGATGCCACATGCACCCAAGGACCACCATGCACCCCATCCAGCATACAGCAGCGCAGCTGGGCTATGGCTGCCTGCCCCTTCCAGCTCGCCGGTGAGCACCTGAGCGCTGGCCAGCGTTAGCGCAGCATGCAGCCAGTGTGTGGGCAGGCATGCACTTTCCTAAATGGAAATTGCCTGCCTGCTGCGTGAAGCCTGGCTGCGCTGGGCCCCTGCCCAGAAGCTTCCGGTAGGCCCCGAGAAGGCTGTGGCCCAGCCCACAGGAATCAGGCCCTGGGCCTCTGGTAGTTGCCCGTGTCCAACTGCCCTCGGCCTGTGTTCGGTCCATGTTGCGTATCTGGCCCACGGCCTGCCTCAGTTACATACAAAAAAGGCAGCCTGGGCCTGGGCGCTCTCATCCAACTGGCGCTGCGCAACTGCCTGAATTTGCCCAGTTGCGCGGTGACCCCCCAAAATAGGCCTATTGGCCCTGGGTCGAGCCTGCCTTCACATAGGGCGGCTGACTATAGAAGAAAAAAGGGCCCTGTAGGGCAGATAGAGGCCCTGAGCCTCACACAAACTTAAAGAAAATGTTGTAAGACCGTATGGACAGCAGTCCGATAGAGTTCTCAGTTAGTGAGATCATGAACTGATTGGTGTACAGGGGGGTGCATGGATTTTAGAGTGAGTGCGAAAAACATTCCTTTGCATGTTGAATGCAGCAAAGACGACAAAAAGGCGTAGAGGAGATGATAGTTAGTACTAAAAAGCCTGTCATGATGATGTTGCTTGCATGGTGATTGGTGATTGTTGGCACTGCCAGTGACGACAGAAGTGTGCATGCTCTCAAGGGTTGGAGTATCATTAATGTCGCACCACACATACGAGGGAGGTGATTGATCCCAATGGGAGCAGAGGGGATGGCATTTGTGGTTCTTGAATTCGGGGAGAAGGACACGAGTTGTGGGTTTGCAGGAGAAAGTCGGCCGCGCTATGTGCTGTCAGGAAACGCGGGAACAAAGCTGCCGCGCATGGTGCATAAACAGCTGCCTTCGTGGGATCGAGCCAAAGTCCCGTCTGCAGAGGACTGGGCAGAGATACTGTATGACCATATTCGCCATATCTATTTTGAGCGATTGATTGTTCAGCCGCAGTCGCGAGGCATCATCGTGTGTGATCGACCAGATACGCCTGATGCGTTTCACGAAGGTCTCATAGAAGTGCTCCTTACACGCTTAAAGGTAGGTGGTAAGTGCAGTGTGCCATAGGCATTAACATTTTTTCCTTCCCTCTTGTCTGCATTGCCCGAGTTTCAACTACCCCTCAACTGTTGATACCTTCAGATGAAGAGAATAAGATCATTCTGAATCGCCTGGGGCCGGTCAGTTCCATGACCGTTGCCCTCTTTTTTTTTTTTTTTTTTTTTTTTT